ACAAGAATATTAGTGAAACATAAATAAATTTGATTATCAAAATAATAATTATAAATTAGTCATTGAAATAAAAAAAAGTCAAAAAGAATATGTTTGACGAGGATTAAATTTACTCATATGATATGAGATTATATTTTTTAGAAAAAAATAATAAAAATTTAGATTGAAAATTATTATTTTTTCATTTCCGTTAGAGGAAAAGGGTATATATGAGCCATTTGTTTACAAGTAGGGGTACATATGAGCCACTTTCATAACAAGGGGTATATCAGCTCTAAATGACAAAGTTGAGGGGTATATCAGACCCTTTTCCCTTTATTATACTTTTTCTATTTCATTATATTTAACGATCTTTCCTTTTTAGAAGATCTTTTAGAAAAAAAGTCCTCTTATTATAATTAAGAATAATTTAATTAAAAATTTCTATGTTATTCTTCATGAAATGATTCTCAGTTGCACAAATACTCAATAATTATTTTGGACCACATATTTAAAAAATTCCTTTTAATCTTAAAAATCATATCAAAACAGAGAATATTATATATAATGAGACGGAAGAAAAACTGTTTTTTAATTAATATTACTAGTTATTATTTCCACAAATGGAGTGATTATATATAAGCAATCAACTCTACGATACATGAATTATCTTATACTATAGTTAATGAAGTTTTTGGGTTTTATCGTATAGCTATTAGAAATTAGAAGGAAACAACATATGATATGATATAATTTAATATTTGTGTTGAAAGATTCTGAATGGCTGTCAAATAATAATAGAAAAATAGTTGAAAGAAATAGTCCAAATCAGGAATCTAATACATTAAAACTTGGACGGTCCCTCCTTTTCACAACTGGAAAATGAAACCGAGTTGAGTTGGCCAGAAGAGACTCTAATGACTAAATCAAATATCGATACATAATTTGAATTTTTTTCAAAAAAAAACAATTTTTACAATTATTAGACCCTCATAAGACAGGTCAAAAAAGTTAAGACAAACCTTATGCCAAATGCCAACTCTCAACAACAAATTAATGAAAATGAGTGAGTTATAATATGTTTGATGTAATCATTAATTACAATTATAATTAGAAGAATTAGGAACTTTACTATATATGTAGCAATATGTCTTGTAATATTCTTTACAAAAATGAAGAGGGAATAATAGAACATGTGGCGCACAGCTTATACTAAAATCTTTCCAGATAACATTTTCTCAAGGGACATGTATTCCACCATAAAATATTACTATATCGTTGTCATTCAATTTTGCTATTTAATTTCCACAATATTTATTTATTAAATAGTTTATCTTCTCTTTGGTGTATAAGTAGAAGAAAGTTTTAAATATTGGTTCATGTTTTGGTGAGAAAAAGATTATATTTTTATATAGTGATGTTTTGTAAAAATTATGTGTATTTAAAAGTTTATAATCATAAATATTTATTTATGTGGTGCCTTAAGATATTCAAATATCTTGTTAATGAATCATGACTTGACGTAAAAATTATATAAAAAATAGGTGGTCATTTTTCCTTTTATAGTTTTCACAACAAATTGTAGGGTTTCATGTTTATGGGGAAAAAAAATACAACCCTAAAAATATAAATTGTATGTTCAAATAAAACTTCAACTTCAGTCCTATTTAATTTTTAATCATGTGTAAACGAGGCTAAAGACTTTACACCAATTAATATGGGTGTTTTTAGTTTATAAAATATGTATTTTATTGTTTGTTATTTCTGAACGGACATGCAAAGTCTATTATAAATAAGTAAAAATATATGAAGGAAATATTTAATCTAGAATATTAAAATTTCAACAAATCGAGATTAAATAAAATGGTATTTTCTAAAAGATTATTACTAAAAATACATATTATTGTTAATTTAATGTTACATGTGTTTTAAGTACCAAATATGAGGATCAAATTCAAAACTTATCAATAGTTTAGGACTTTAAAATACTATTAGTGAAAAGAAGATAAATACAAAAACAAAAGACTCCAATTTGTTTGACATTGATAAGCTTTGTGTGAAAACTCTTTTTGCCAACCAAACAAGTGACATCCTCCAATTAAACTCCGGACTTTACTAATTACATCACTTTGTTTTATTCGTTTCTAACGAAAAATGAACTTTCATTTTCTTGTCCATTTTTGCTATATTAATTCTATACTGTGATTAAAAGTGAACGGAGGGAGAAAGTAATTAACGAATTATATTATAGCAAAAAATAAAGTACTAATGAATTGTTAATTAAGTGATAAATTGTTAAAAATACATAACATAAACGATAAGATAGTTGCAAATAGCACGTGAAAACTGAAGTTATTATATATTACGTGATGTTATTCTCATAAAAAGGTAGTTTTATTTTTTGATATACTTGAAAGCTCTAGCCAATTTGTTAAAGTATACAAAAAATGTTAAATATTTAGTTTAAAATTGTATGATTAACTATAAACAACACAATATGAAAAATTCCTATTAACATCAAATGTTATACAACTTAGAAAATATTTATTAAAATGAGTTAGCTTTTAAGCTTTCATTATTTATAAATATCTAATTAGTTTTTTTTTTCTTTTCGAATTAGATTTGCGTTGACTACAACTAAAAAGGCCCTTAATGTCTAGTTCTAGTTTAATTATAAGGAAACTAGTTTGAACTAGTTTAGAATTTGTTATTAATTAGTTATTACCAAACTAGTAATCTGTATCATTTCAAAAACTTAGTAATTAAATGTAGAAGAAAAAAAACTTATTCACAAATTGGTTTTGGCTTCAAAATTTGTTAAAATACGTACTGCTTAATAATTCATTGGTACCAAATTAATCTACATATCGTCTTATTCATTATAAAAATAAAAATA